CCCCTGCAGCGAGGGAAGGAGTGGGGCTGGTGTAGATGCTGCCCAGCCAGGGTGGAGCGGGGCACCAGATGGAGCCATGAGAGGCTCATGCGGGAGGCACGAGGGCTGGGGCAGCTCCTGCCGCTGCGTGCACCCCCAGAAGAGGCATAGGGGGTGTATGACCCCCAAATCCATGCATGGGGCTCAAGCAGGCTACCACTGCGCGCTGGGGCTGTGGGCGGCGTTGAGCTCTTCCCGGAGAGGGGGCTGGGCCGGGGCTGTGCTTGGGGCAGGTGGCAGCAGTGCTGGGAGGGGGGCTACAGCAAATGCTGGAGTGCTTGTAGCCCATCCCATAGCCCCCCTCCCACCCCAGTGCCCCACTACCTGCCCCAGCCCATCCCCCCCTGCCAGGAAGAGCCTGGTACAGGCCCCAGCCCACAGTGGCCCACCCTTGTCCTGCACACATGCTGCCTATGGCTCCCCCAAGGGTGTGCGTAGCGGCAAGATCCTGCCCCCACCCCCTAGATGAGCTGTGAGGCTCCATCCCACATCCTGCCCTGGCTGGGCAGCACCTGCCCCAGCCCCACTCCCTCCCTCACCGCAGGGGCCTCAATCTACACCCCGCACACCCTTTCCACCACCCTACAACAGACTTACCAGCCAGACATTGCTCTCCAACCTGCCAGTCTGCATATCGGCAATTGGATTGGTATTGACCGATATGGCTCGTTAATAATCGGCCAAAACCCCTTTACCTTTAAACAGACCAAACATCTGAAAAACTAACACGAAGCAGATCTAGTCAGTTCCCTGCTGCTTATCTTGTCATAGGCTGTTGTCACTTGCTGTGAATAAGCATCTGGCTATACAAACAAGTTATCACAAGGTAAGCAAGGGCACCTATCTGTGGAATGCCAGCTACTCCACAGTAAATGTAAGGTTGCTTACCCCTCAATGGCAGCATGGGGGGGAGGGAGGGAAGTGTTGGCAGACAGAGTTACTGTGAAATAGCAAACCTGCTGTGAATTTACACCCTATCTTACCTTGTGATAGCTTATTTATTTAGCCATACCCTTATAGATAAAAAAAAAAAAAACTGATGAGAAAGGGAGCCTGGCAATCACTTGCTCCTTTATTAATTATATGACCACACTACATAAAATGTACCTTGTCCATTTATATGGTACCCAAGTACCTTACACTATAATGTATTTCTTCTCAATCCCTATGCACCACCACCTCTACTGATTCTTCTCTGTAAATAAGGATAATTTCTAATGGTATATGGCAATGTATGTTCCCAGAAGTAAATTCTAACATAATAAAGGGCTTACTCCATTTGTCTGTCTGTCCATAACGTGTTTGGAGCACTCCGATCGTTTAGAGAAACAACCAGAGTGCTCCAAAAGCCTTAGGGACAGGAGCCGGGGGGGCGGGGGGCAGGGAAGGGGGAAGAGGAGGAGCAAGGCCAGCAGTGCTTGCCACCCTGGCCCTGCTCCCTGGAGGCGGCAGAGCGCCGCTATGACAGCA